CCCTTCCTAGAATCCTGCTTTCTCATCGAAATATTTCTTTGTTTTGAGTAATTAACTATTTTCTTAAATGTATGCCATTGTTTCTCAACAATATTTGCTGCTAAACACCTTTCCCAGTCCGCTTCAGGTAGCTCTGCCCTCATTCCTTTATAATCACCTTTAGCGCAGTTGTTTCCAAACCAAGGTCCCTCCTCTCAAATTGAATGCTAAATTCTATCATGTTATTGTCATTCTCTCCTGGGGGATCTTTCACTCTGGCATCATTTGTTAAACCTGCCTCATTGCACATCAGCAGATCCAACAAAGTCTGATTCCTCATTAGATCCACAACATATTCTTCTAGGAAACTGTCCCAAATCCACTCTATGAATTCAATTTGTGTGTAAATTGAACAACCTAATACTGAATTGAGCCAATGACCAGCAGTGGCATGCAGGCCTTTAAAACTGGTTAAAATTAACTGGCTGGTTTTACAAAAGAAAATGCTTTTGTATTGGAAGCAGCAATCTAAATCTAGCTCTTTCAACATGGTATGTGTTGAGGAACATCTGTGAAAATAGACAGTATTTATTGTTCCCTAAAATCAGTGGGCTGCAATCCTAAGTTTTCTGGGGTCAGCCAATCAAGCACATACTTTCCAATTTAGAGGGGAGGCAGTATGTTTGTTTGGGAACAAGAGTTGCTCAGATTTGCCTCAAGCCACTGTGCAAGAGGACTGAAGCAATTTTTATAAAAAGAAACCTTGCCCTCTTCCAGGTCAGTCAGTTCTCTCAATGCATTGGCCTCTGACGTTACCATTTGAACTGGAGAGTTAGGAGCTGCCCGAGTAGACAGAGACACTGCACAGATGACCATACCTGAAATGAATGGCCTTGAAAAATATCTGCTTTTTTTTGGCTGACTAGAGGAACATGATAACCCAGTTTTTTCCAAGTCCCTACTATTTTTCAACTGGGCTCGATCAGTTCCACATTGCTTGTGGCAGTCTTGCTGGATCTCTGACGTCATTTGGTTGTAACTGCAACACCATGGTGCATTGTGTTGTTGATAGGTTTGGCACTAGAGCTTTCATAACACAGGCGATGAAATTTTCATGGTTAGGCTCTCCATTCCCTGTCTTAAAGGTACATGAGGTACTTGCTGTGAGGACTTGGAGAATCTATTCTACAATAACATCTCGAATTTTGGCTGAGTCTGGAGAAAATATTTTGAGCTACATAGCTCCTAAAGAGGTGCTTGCAGATGTGGCACTGATAGAGGAGCTGCACTAATGAATGAAATTTGTAATACGAGTCTAATACTTGGCACAGCATTAGAGCAGAGTATTGCAAATGCAATTTTCTCTTTAGCAGTCTAGTATAATCCAATGACAAGATTAGTCTGTATCACAATGGCAAAGATTTAACGAAATAAATAGAACAATATTTCCTATGTATTAGAACCAATGTCAAATGTTAGAGTTTGAAAGATGAAAGCATTATTTGTATGTCAAACTAGTGCTTATTGATTTTCACTATATCACATTCAATCCAATCAAGTTAATTTTTTTTTCCCTTAATTGTCAACTGCGTGACATTGTATATTGCAAGGTCAGCATTCCAGATGGTGTCTTATGCTAGCTGATTTATTACTCCATAACAAAATGAATAGACTGTCCCTCCACTATTTTGTGCATGTCTGAAATGTGCAAGGCATTGTGATGAAGTTCTAAACATTGTATCACTATCTGTGTCAAATCTATATGAACAACATAGGATTCTGAATTAAACTCAAAATTTATAGCAAAACAAACTACATTTCTATCTCCCACTCTGCATTTCCCGGTGCGCGGGTATTTGCCTCAGAATTAAAGCAATGTAAGAGCCAGTTTCTGTACAAATTTCAATATGTGAAGAAATTTTTACAGATCCCATAAACTAGAAAAACAATACATCACCTCACCTGATACTTCAATGCAATAACGAAACAATGCTGCATTGTTGGAATCAACAAAATGTTTTGGTCCATTAGAAAGATATAGCCCAAGATGTTTTTGCAAACTACTATGATAGAGATGAGATGAATGTGCTGATGATTTAAACTGCACTACTCCATGAGTTGTATCATTAGAATAAGCATATTGATTCAGTCACCAAAATGGCCAATTGTTTCCCTTTTGTATTGCTACCCAGAATAAAAAAATAGTCTTTCACTAGGCTTCTTTAATGCACACAAAATAACCAGTCTATTCTATAACAGATCTTATTTTTAAAAAGAAGTAGCAAAATTAGTCAACATCTAAGATAATAATCCAGAATTAGAACTGTATCCTCTTTTAATCCCAAAACTGACACATTCACACAACAGAAATGACAACCAAATCCCTGCAGAGGTGAATTTTTTTAAAGGTTTATAAAAAGCTATTGGTCAATGGTCTGGAAGCAATAATAGAATTTGAAGATTCCCATAGTCTACTAGCTTTCTTGATGACAAAATCAGATTGCTAACAGCCTTACCTGATGGTAGATCTGTTAAACAAGGCTTCAGTTTAGATGGAAATCAAGCTGGTATGAAGTCTTTGGATAATAGACACAGTTCAGCTTTTCAGCGTTTTACAAGGTAATCAAAATATTCAGGTGTGGAAATTTAACACGTTCTCAAATACTTAAACTGAATGAGTTTTGCAGGCCTCTTGTTGCTTTGGATTTTCTTCCCTCCTTGGACCCTCTAGATTTTTGGAAACACAACCCAAAGTTGACATATTGCTAAGCAACCATCAGCACAGGGACCTTTTAACCTTCCTTCCAAAGCTAGATTTTCCAGCAAGTAAGTGCACTAATTCCCACCTCTAAGCCAAGCAAAGCAACACAGGAGATGGTTTCCTGAAGTAATCTGACTTTCTGCAATCAGTAGATGGATCACAGCCCGCTTTAAAACTGGCTACATTCCCAAGAAATGACATGGGTTCCCTAAAGCCCTTTTTAAAACAAAACCCTTTTAATTCCAAAAATGTCCAAGCAATTGAATATATTCCAGTTCTCTCCATGGTACACAAATATAGATATGTACTCCCAACAAAACACAGAAATATGGGGTTGCATTTTATGGGCGACCTGTAGACAGGAAAATGGATAGGCAGACCTATAAATTAGGCTGTACCATTGGTAGCATGTTGATCCTCACCGCACCATTTAATTTTAGGGCTGAGGCCAAGATGTCAGGTGAGCCATTCAGTCATTACACAATTGAGGCCCTTTTGTGGGCAGTTAAGTGCTTCATCCCACTACTACCTACATCCAAGTCAAATTGGAAGAGGTCCCTTCTTCAGGGGTCTTACATGGCAATCAGAGTTCATCCTCCTTTCCCAACCCACAGTTTTACTTCACCACATCCAACACCCAGCCTGTTCAAAATGCCACAAACAGCCCCATCCCCTTCTCTCAGGCTTCCCAATCTGACCACTGTGACTTAGCAGCATTTGAGGACATCCGTAGGTTCTCTTGTAAAGCTGACAGTGGCCACTGCTCCTGTTGTGGTACAGAGCTGCTGGCTTTCAAATGGCTGGCATCTCTCTGGGACTTTCTTCTGGAGATGGAGGGAAGTCCTGTTTTTTAATCAATTTAATAAAAATAAAACTTGCCTGAAAAATTAATGTTGGTTGAGCCAGCCAAGCAGAGGCAGGCCCTACCCCTAAAATTTAGGCTGGGGAAAGCATGCCTTGAGGATATTGTGCCACTATTTGAATGTTGTGCTCACGCTCATGTCCTGCTTGAATGCCTTCTACTGCCCTGGCACTCATTTACCTGCAAGCAGCTAATTATTCTCCACTTTTGACAAATTGTAAACTAAATTTCTTAGGCTAACCCACTGCCCAAAGGACAAAAATAAAAGACCACTCCGTAAACAATCAACAGTTGTTATCCTATAACATGACTCCTTGAATTTTATTATTTTATTGTTTTTGGATTTATAGACAAATACTGCTCCTCTGTTAGATCCATACTCTATCCTGAACCTTCTCTCTCTCTGCTCAATTTGCAGTTAGCTTGTAGACTTAGTATTTTAATCAATTATTTGATCATGTTTAAGCCACAAACAAATGAAACATTTGCCTATAACACAAACCACTGCATGTATTGGGGCAAAAGCTACACCTCCACCCTGCTCTGCACCACACGTTTAATTATTGTATTTTATTTTGCTGTGAAATTTGTTCTACGACCATTCTGTTTTCTGCATCAGTTGATATTTTACACCTATGTCAGATTATATTATTAATGGTAGAGTCTCAAAATCTATGTACAGGTGCCCATTTTCCCCCAAAAATGTAGCTCGAACTAGGCAAAGTGATCTGCCACTAATTTAGGACTCAGTGTTAGATGGCATATGTTCCTGTAGTTATCTTTCAGTATTCATTATTCTCTATATCACTTTTGTTCAATACGTTAATGGCCATTATTACTCAGTTTTATAAAGGTTCTTCTACATGGCTTAAAAAATGGCAGAGTGCTTTAAGATTGTGTATGTAACATTTACCTCCTTTGGATTTTAACATTACATTAAATCCAACTGTGTGTGGTTTGGGTGGCATCATGGGTCTCCTTTAAACTTGGAAATTTTGAATCTAGACCAGACAGATGAGATGCATCTTTCCCTCTCTCTGCCATTATAATGGTCCTATGTCACAAGTTTAGGCCATTTTGACCCAGCTGGCTAGTGAACGAGAATCCATAGCACACCGTGACCTCTGTTAATAGTCAATCACATTAATGAAGAAATGTCAGCTTGGTGCAGGTAAAGGGAAGTTTTTCTGACTTTGGACTAATGTACATTACTTGTAATGAATAGTAGATACATTTTTACAGACATGTACTTTTTTGATCATGGATTTTTTTTTTAACCTAGCATGCCAGAATTGAGTGTGCTGATACACTTCACCTTGACAAACATAAAAAAAGCTAATATGGAAGGACATGACAGCACCTGAAACTCTCATGACTAGTTCTTGTCTCTCACTACAGCAAGCATTGGAAGCCAACCTTGCGAATTTGGTGAAGAGGAACACTGAGTTGGAGTCACAGATGGGGAGGCTCATTCAAATCTGCCAACAGGTGGAGGTGAGTTCTTTCTTGATGCTGTCAGCTTACTTAGCTGACCTCACGGAGCTACAAGTTAGTGCAAAGTGATTTGTGGAATTTCACTGCAGCATTCTAGACAGCAGTATTGGAGACTGAAAAACAATATTTTGGATTACTGATTCATGGTTTGTTTCCTCATTAGCTTAAAGGGTGCTATTTGTCATCTTGTAGGGAATGAAGACTTAACTAGACATCCTAGATCTTCCTAAAGAAGGAGACTTATTGCTAACAATTGATGAGGTTTCTCGGAGACTGAATGAACTGCCTTTTTTTAATCAAAAGTGCTGTTTGAGTGAATTTATAGAGGAACTCAATGTCACGTTCAGAGATTGCATCTCAATTTAACTGATAATTGAATGTTGATGTCGAAAAAAATGTTTTTAAAATAATTATGAAATTCAGTCACTTACACTTAGAAATCTCAATAAATAATGCTCTAAACTGTTCTAAACAAATACTGTTTTATGTAGACTAGATGCTTCATAACTACTTCAAAGAGAAAGCAAAAGAAACATGCTCTTTCATGCCACACGTATCATATATGATGCACAGGTCACTCAATAATAGAATTCTATTTCCCTCCAATCGACGGCATTATCTAACTGATACTAAAACTGTTTATCTGGGGTTCCCTCATAATCCTGTCACATTTGTAGACATAATTTACTGAGGGCCATCAGCCAAGTATGTAATTAAAATACTAATGTTGAGATATTATAACATCTAGTACAACCTTTGACTTGAAATTTCTTTGTACTTAGCATTGTTTTTTATTTCTACCTAGCTTTGGATGTTGTTGTCACTTATTGCCCATTTCAAATTGTCCTTGAACTGTACAGTGCAACTTGCTAAGCCATTTCAGAGGACAATTCAGAGTCAATCAGCTCCACAGTCATAGTCACACATCAGATAACGACAGCGGATTTAAATTCCCTAAAGTACATTCGTGAACCAAATGGATTTTTATGACAATCTGGTAGTTCAATAATACTAATGAGACTAGTATTTCTAGATTTATTAACTAGTTTAATATTCTTTCGAGTAGCCATGCTGAAATTTGACCACCTGACTCTAAAGTGTTATTCCAGCCTCTGAATTAGCAGCCCAGTGACATTGCCATTATGCTACCATTCCCCTTAACTTGCCTAAATAATGTCGAAGTCTAGAGTGCACCATTCAACGAAATTTCCTTCATTAAGATGTAACCTAAACATGCCACACAGAAGAATGTTTTCTCCAAATCATCTTTGCATAATTATGCTTTGAGGTTTGTCAGCTTGGCACAATTGAGAGCATTCTGACTTGTGTCAAAATTTGAGATTTCTAAATTGTGCTCCAGGACGTCAGCTCATAACCATGCATCAGCATAATACTGACAATTACTGAATGAGGGTTTATCCTTTGGATCCTCGTTCCAGCACCCTATCTGCTGCTCCAGTAATTCATACAAACTTTGAAGGTGCCTTGGCACCCTTTAGAAATGATTATGAATATCTCATATTGCATTGGCCAATTTTTCCCTTGCATTCAAAAACAGGTTGACTGTTTATTATTTCATTGCCACTTATGGGAGCTTGCTGTGTGAAACATGACTGTCACATTTGCTTATATAACAGCTGACTGCACTACAAAATAGTTTACTGAAAAAAAATTGCTTTAGTAACTCGCGATGTGATGAAATACAATGTAAAAGCTTTTTCTGTTTTCTCATTGATTTCAGATCGTTCATCAACAGAGGTCATAATTAGTTGTAACTCCTCCCCCAACTATATCAATGTTTGATGTAATATCTACAGTATAATTGTCACTTTAGATGACTCAATCTAAATTGAAGGTATACGCACTTGCTATTTAGAGGCATCAATTCCAAATTCTGTCACTGACACTATCTGTATCAAAATCATGCACGTTCCTTTATAGAGGTGAACTTAATTATACAATCTTGTCACCCATCCAGAATACTATGATCATGACTCTTACTAGCAATCCTAAACATACTATCAATAATTTCAAATGTTTATGGATGTTACAGACTTAATGTTTAAACACTGGACACACAGCCTTCCTTGGCTTCTCTACAAGACACTGTCCTCCTCCTTTAAAAAAACCACTCGCCGTCAACAGGTTAATGGAGAGAGGTTCTTCCACCTTTCTCAGCTGAATACAAAGCAACTTCTGATTTTAAAAATAATAATTCTAGTTGGTAGTTTGGTGCCTTCAAAAGCACAAAGAGTACATACAACTCGGTGATAAAATGTAGTGCAGTCTCACCAAGTCTTAAAATCCATTCTCATCAATTGTGAACGGTGTCTTGCTGGTGAGGTACAGAGACTAGGATATATCTGGAGCTCAGTAGTGGTGTTGTATAATCAATACCTTGGGTATCATTCCATGTAAAATTATCAGGCTATATAGATATTGATGTGTAACCCCCTGATCCATTTACAATTCAGTAATTCTCCAGGAAATGATGCCTGAAATGATGAATGTGTGCCCAAGATCTTGGATTGAGTTGAATGAGACTAAGTGATCAAAGTATGGTCTCCCTCTGCTGGCTGAGAGTGCTTGAATAACAGTACAAAGGCATAAAGATCAGAAAATGTTCAGGCATTTCATGGAAGCTTTACTCTTTATCTGACCCATACTATATATGATCAAGATTCTTTTCTAAAACACACCTTGTAATGATATAGAAACTTAGTAATGAGCCAGACCCAAATACCCAATAATAATTCACCTGGTCAGTTCCAAAGCTCAAATGTCATGTTCTTGTCTGTCTTATGCATCTGAATCATTTTGTAGATTTCTCAATTTCTTGCCATATATATACATCAAATACCTTCTTTATCACTGAATAAAAAGCAATAGTGAAAATCAGCCATGCTTTAAATATGTCATTGTCAATAACAATAAGTCTGATTTTTCTTATTCCCAGAACTAAAATAATGTTATACATTTCCTTCTGTGAAGAAAATATCCCTTCGAAAAGACAGAATATTTGACAAGCAAAGCACAAACCAAATCTTAAAAAGAATAAGAAAGATGAGCAGCTCTTGGAGCTTCCAGAATGGACAAATAAGGCTACTTATATTTTTCTTAAACTGTCATAAATATTTCTGACAGTTATTACACCTGAAAAGAATTCAGAAGATAAATCAGACTGTTCACATTTATAGCTAACTATTGAAGTTCTATAAGACAAAGACATGGTACATTTGCTTTGATGATCACTGAGCAGCTTGTGGTCTTTTTAATTCAGTCTTGCTAAAACTGTGAATGGACCCCCTTAACAACCCAGCCTTCATGACTTCTGCGGTCTTGATAAAGAAAAACAGTTGCTTCTCCAGTTTCATTGTACATAGATGTAGAAGTATTTACTTAAACGTTAAAATTAAACTTTCTATATAAACTAAATTTGAAATCAATGTTTGAGGTAAAGTGAATGCGATAATCTCATCAAATAACTTATTGTTGCAATTGAGCAATAGTCTGATTAAATTGCTGGTATCTTACGTTTTTAAAGCAAATTTTACATAATGAAAGGTACTTCACAGGATGAGAGTTGTGAAGTATAGAATCAAGGGATGCGGATGCTGGAGGATTTCTTTTTTGAATTAGCAATTTGGGAAACATCACCAGAGTTTATGATTGAAGCAGAAAAGTCAATCACCTCCAGATTCAGCTGAGGCCTGTTATTTGTAGGCTATATTTCTCAGTCCTTGGACCTAAGTAGTTAGATGCTTTACCAAAGCAGCATGGTCTGTCTCTATCCTTCAGCCTCTCAAAAGCAGTACATCTGGGGTAACTGAGGTCTGTCCAGCTGTGTCAGCCTCTGGTATTTCTTCTGGCCATACCCAGTTCGAACTGAGACTCTGAGCAAGCAATCCTCAGGCAGTATATTAAGAAGAAGATAGTGAATGGTTCTTTGCCTCTCTATAGGCACAGATGTAAATTCTGTGAAAACAATTAATGTCACCATTATGTAGAAGGGATGCACAAGTCATCTCCCTTGCCAAACAAAACAATTACCTTTTAAAGACAAAGTCATTCTCTTGACTAATAAGAAACATAAGGTGCTATAACTGGGGGGTTTTGGTTTGAAGAATGACCAAAGGAAAGAATTGGGATATCCCAAAAGCTCAATAAGTACTAACTTTTCTTACTTTTTCCATTTATTTCATTTTCTCCTTGCAAAAGTCAAAAGCGCAAGCTAAAGTAACTTCCAGATATTGATGGTTTCTGGTTACCTATGAACCCAGACAGGGATTTTGCTGGGATGCTCAATTTAAAGAGAACACCCTGCCCAATTATGAGCCGATTGGGGCAGGGACTGTAGAACAGTTACCAGGACTGAAACTTTAATTTTCTTCTCCTTGATCCTTAACATAATACAGAAAGTTGCTAAATAATGGGCGAGGAGCAAGTGTCAAAACATTTTGAAAGTATTATTCTAACCCCATACATTATTTAGAAGATTGGAGGCAGCCTCCAATCCTCAGCTGAATCTGGAGGTAATTGACTTTTCTGTTTCAATCGTAAACTCTGGGGATGTTTCCCACTCATTCTGTGAAGTACCTTTCATTATGTAAAAGTTGCTTTATAAATGCAAGATACCAGCAATTTAATCAGACTATTGCTGAATTGCAACAATAAGTTATTTGATGAGATTACTGCATTCACTTTACCTCAAATGTTGATTTCAAATTCAGTTTATATAGATGGATGTAGAGTCTCTTCTGAATTCTTCCAGTAAGGATTCAGCTTTCTTATGATGACAGGTCATCAACCTGAAATGTTAACTGTTTAACATTCTACAGATGCTGCCTGACTTGCTGAGGTTTTTCAGTAGTTTCTGTTTTTCTTTCAGAGTTCCAACATTCAGAGTGTTTGATTTTTTTTTTAATGTTAGGATTTCACTTGCAATAGATTTGAGCAAACCCATCCAGTTGCCATTATGCATAATCCTGCAGCCCAAAACTAGCCTTATTTGTAGTGTAAAATTAGTGGCCTTAGTCAGACTAAACAATGGATGCAGTTAAAGATTGAAGCATCCCACTAGCATGGGAGAAAATACTTATCCGAAGATGGGGCTACCCCAGCTTGAGTTTTTAAACTGCAATACTTGAACAAACAGTACTTCATTCATGGAGCATTTGTCAGAATAAAAGCAAGCATAGCTATCAGTAGTTATTTTTATTTCCCCTGTTCAAGGAGTTTTTCAGCCTGTGCTATGTTATTCTTTGTATGAATATTACCCAGGCCATGGTTTTCCCTTTTTCACTCTGTTAGATGTCAACTTACTCACTGCCCCACTTGCCAAGGTCATGTGTCCGTCAGCTTGGTAAGCTTCTCTGTTTATCAAAGGCCTCGACAGTGGTGTTCCAACTCACTAGAAGTTGCCACCTTGCAGATTCTAGAATTAGAATTAGGTTTGTTGTTTACATGTACTCAAGTTACAAAACAACATAAGTGCAGTTTAAAATGTACAATTTTGCCAAACACAGGGTGACATCTTTGGTCCAAAGTACCCAGGTACAAATTTTGGGCACACAAAAAAAGAAAATAAAGAAAGAAAGTTACACTATAGATATACATAGTATAAGTTAGGAAAATAAGAAATAAAGCTAAAAAGATGGATACAATTGGGCAATGCCCACTCTTCAGTGAATCCAACAATTGAAGGTACTTCGACTACTTTTGCATCTCTTGGGGTGGAGGTCTTTGACAATGGATGGTCAATGAGATTGGAGGTGAGGTGATGGCTTCCAGAGACCATGCCCTTGCATCCGTTCTGGACCAGCTGTTGCTACCAGATTGGTAGGACATTGAAGGAGACCTCCTTACCTGAGCCTGGCAAACAGGTTGCCGCGGTTATCGAGACAGGAAAGCAAGCACATTTCTTGCCTGCCAGAATGGCAGATAATTGGCGAGTGTACCCAGTCCAGAGTCAGCTTCACAAATTTTTCTTCCCTGCTTTCCATCAGTATCACCACCTTCAAAAAAGGGAAAGTTGTACCCGGCTCACAGTTGTAGTTTTTGAAAAATATTTATTGGAGTTTGACAGTCCTTCGTACTTGTATCCCTTGAAAAGATAGTAATGATTTTCCTTCTTGAATGTCTGCAGTTTATGCGGTGGAAGTTCTTCCATCAAGCTATTAGATAGGAAATTCCAGGATGTTGACCTTGCAATGAAGAGGTGACAGCAATTACATATTCACAGCAGGAGAGTATGTGTTTTGGAGGGGAAGCTGAAGGTGGTTTTACTGTGCAAGCACTGCCTCTGTTCATTTGTTTGTAGAGGTGACAGGTTTAGGAGATGCAATCAATGAAGCCATGCTGAGTTGCTATATTTTGGCTTATACGTGATACACACCATGTATACGTAGCTACCACATGCCGATTGTTGAGTGAATGAGTGATTTAAGCCAGTGGATATGAGCTGCCATTGCTTTGCCTCATTGCTTTGTCTCAAGTAGTGTTGATGAGCTCCTTGAGTGTTATTGGGGCTGAATCCTAGCCACTGATGTAGAAGATATTCCATCACATTTGAGGGGAAATGGCATATTCAAGCTCCATGTAAGTATTAACATCATTGGTAACCTCTTTACTTATATTCACCAATGTACTAATATATTTGTACTAAAACAGGAAAAAGCAGATCAAGAGTCAGTGCTTTTGAAAAGAATAAATAACTGTTCCATTGATGTATTTACTGACAGGTAAACACTGCAATACAAGAGAACAAACTAAAAGAGGAATGTGATGAGCTGATGGACATTATTAGGCAAAGGAAGCAGATCATTGCTGTGAAAATCAAAGAGGGAAAGGTAGGGGTTTCTCTGTTAATTTTTTAAGAAAATACAGTCAAAAAAAATCCAGGTTGTTGGTAATCAATCTCCTTCTTTCTACGGTTCATAACAAAACACTGTGTAAGCTTGAGACACTTTTTTTTAAAATGCATGAATGAATAGCTTGAGTAATCAACTCAACCAGAAAATTGAAGTTTTTTGCTTTAATTCTTTCAAATCCACTAAAGAGGTGTCGAAAACCATGTCCTCAATACTTGATAAGTATCTCTCACAAATAAGACTTTATGACTTAACTACTCCTAAATTCTTTTGAAGAAAATGGGCAGAATTCAAGGTAAATGTTGCAAGTCTGGCCCATTAGTTAGAGAACACTGAGGGAAATTGTTTTCCTTTTGAAAGCAGGACCTGACTTAATGAAGTGTCTGTCAGGCATGTGATAGGCCATCCCCAGGATCAAAGACCCTGAGGATAGAATTCCTGCCCATTGAAGCTACAGCCAATCAATGGCTCACAGCCTCTACTGCCAAAGATGCTGCTACCTTTAGTAATCCAGTGGCTTCACCAGGGATCATTGGTGGATACTTGGACTCGGGTGAGTTTGGAAGAGAGGCTCGGTGTTGGAGATTGTAGGAGAAGGGTTTGGCAGGCAAATACGTGGGTTGGCTTTCGTGGTTATCCCTGCCTACTTCAAAGTGCCACTAGAGGCTTTCATGAGGCATTGGAAAGCTACAACTCTCTCATTTAATGTCAAAGCAACCACAAAATTGCACTGGCCTTACCTCAATAATGAGCCTAATTGACATCAAACTGTGAGTGAGTGAGTTCCACTTGCGGGTCCTTTCTAGCCTCTAACTTTAACACTGGCCTCTGATGTATGGCCTCATTGCCTGATTACATGGGCCCAGATATCACATTTCTACCACATTGAGCTGCATTAAACCAACCATGTCTATTATTGGAAATAACACCTAGAACATGAGCCACGTGAAAGTCCCCTTATCGATGGAAAGAAAACTAGTGGAGGAGTCCAGAGAAAGCTCACGAAGTTGAACCTGGGTATGGAGGGATTTTCTTATGCAAAGAATTTGAGTATGTTGGATTTATGCTTATTGGAGTTTGCAAAATGACAGAAGACCTTATTGCAACATATCTTTGTGGGGACGGGAGGAGGCATGAAAGTGGAGTTAAGAATATGAGATCAACCATGCTGTCATTGAATGGCAGAATAGACACAATGTGATGAATGGTCTGCTTCTGTTTTTGTGTCATATGGTTTTATTATCAATTGTATATGTTTATGTCCCTTAAACAAAACTTACTGACTTAACTATTTCAACAATTTTGTAGAAGAGGCTTTATCAAGCACCATCTACAGCTAATGAATCTTGGACCTTAATCAGTCATGGTTGACATCATTACTGGCATGTACATATTTACACAAACCCTGTTCACCTCAGAAAAAATGTAGGCCTTTTGGTAGAAAGTATTTGTTTAGACAGCTTAATAAAATCCATCAGAGATAGTAGGAACTGCAGATGCTGGAGAATCTGAGATAACAAGGTGTAGAGCTGGATGAACACAGCAGGCCAAGCAGCATCATAGGAGCAGGAAGGCTGACGTTTCGGGCCTAGACCCTTCATCA